GAGGCGGCGGAGGACGGGCGCGTGGTTCTATTTTTTTACAAGAGCAGGAAATGCGTGTTTTTTTACATCAACTATTTAATAAATATTAATAAGAATAATTCTACAAAATATTAGTAATATTAATAATATTATTATATTAGAGTTTTCTCACTCATTCTCCATTTAATGTATGATTTTCCTGCATCTAAAATCATTTCTGATCAGAGAATCTCACACTCTGGACACGTTTACATCTGTTTTACAGATTTAAATGGAGGCGTGTCAGGGGAGGAGTCTCAGTTCTATGTTCATTGGGATGTATAAAGGAAAGGTGCGCAGGAACCTGCGTGCGCACGGTTTTATACATCTGAATATGTTGGTGTGGCGCACTTTTCTAAATTTGTCCGTACGTCAACTTTTAGTGTGAAAGCTGCGCAATCCTTTATGCATGAGGGCCCTGGAATTTTGGCTTTATGTTCATGTAATACTTTATTAGAGAAGGTACATTCATTTTTCTTAGCCCAGCTGGCATTAGATGCTGGCCTGTGAGAGGCTTGTTTGGGTTTACTGACTCAGGTTCTGGCTGGCAGACTGTGAGCTGGAATGGAGTTCAGACCTGATGGATAAATACTTTTAGGACAGAATCAGCTGAAACTGATTCTGAACATGTTTTATGACTGTATCRAAGCTTTTAAAACACATTCTGTATGCTGATGACACTACACTTTATTTTATTTTTTAATCAACAGATGTTGGAGGTGATACAGACAGAATTTAGGAAGGAACAAACTTGGTTTCAACTTAATAAATTATCATTGTTTTTGGATCAAACAAATCATATACAGTGATCCCTCACTATAACGCTGTTCACCTTTCACAGTCTCACTGCTTCACAGATTTTTTTTTTTGTGCAGTTTTTTTTTCAAAGTGCATTGTGTTCTGCGTCCTGATTGGCTAAACAGTCTCTGTGCTTCTTCTCTTCCTGTTTGCCAATAATGTACGGTATTTATAAGTATTACAGCTTGGCAAATTTCAGTTTGCAAATTTGCAAACT